CGTCTTCCTGCTTCTCGTCCCTCTCGTCTTCCTGCTGCTCGTCCCTCTCGTCTTCCTGCTGCTCGTCCTCTCGTCCCATTTTCACCATCAGGAGCGCGTTTCATCTCTTAGCCCCGCCTCCACAAAAGACCCAGTCTGCTCTGATTGGTCACTGGCTCTGAAATCTCTTTCCCAGAGGCTCTCTGACCAACTGCAAACATCGCTGTAGCCATGGAAACCGTGACATTGATTTTGTCGAGGACTTTTTTAACTTGGAACTAAACTGAAAAGTAAAATATCGTAACTTTAAGACGAGACATAAAATCATTTCAGATATCGAGTGAATGAACAACAGGTCGGATCACTGAGGCCGGATCCTTCAAGCCTTGGTTGTTTCTCTGTTTTCGTGCAGTTGCATCACAGCGACTTGATTTGTTTTGTTGTAAGATTCCAAACTTTTCCTTCAGAAACTCAGAGCGTGTTGACAAACAGCTTCAGATTCTGTGAGATTATTAAGATCCTGCTTCAGTCACCTCAAAGAAACGACCCTCTCACATATTTTCATTTCATTAGTGATGTTATTTTACGTCATCTCAGAATCCGAAGGAGTTCCAAACATTTTAATTAGCCGTCTGACTGAGAGTCTCCACACGGCACACAGACGTCAAACACATTAATAACAAAATCTCATCGTGTGAAATGAGCTCCTTCATTTGCCTTCGGCCTGCGATTAATTATGCACAAGTATTCCATTACTGAGCCTGTGTACGTTCTTCCCCACGGTGCAGCACTGTTAATTATTACAGCCATTAAGAGGAACATGGACAAGAGATCGCTGCTCTGCTGAAGAGTCTCTGCGGAGTCTCACACTTCCTGTTTTATAGATTTATAATTAAGTTTATTTCTTTCTCTGAAAACAAATCCTGAGTTTGAGCTTCCATCAAAGAATGATAAAAAATATATCTTTGCTCGTAATATACAATTCAATATTTATTAGAAAATAAAATGGTCCTGGTTGTAACTGCTGGAGCAAAGCTCGACTTTTGTCTTTTATAATTATTGGTCTTTTATTATTTATTTTTCATCCTCAGAAGAAACAGAGTGAAAGCATTAGAGAATCCGAACATGAAATCAATAAGCTCCCAAATCTAAAGACCAATTAAATGAGTCCAGCAGCAGCTCAGAGAGCCTGCAGCCTCTCACTGGATTTAAACTCGGAGTTATGGCTCTGAGATGAAACAGTGAACACTTGAACTTCCATGAGCTTTTAATTGAGGTTATAACTATAAACAGAGCAGATTTCCCTCTGAGGGTTCAGGAGACGTCTCCACAGAGCAGTTACACTCAGTGAGGTGATGGAGACCAGATATGATTTAATGACTTCTTCCTTGTCTCATGTTCCATCCGGTCTCCAACTTGAGTTGTTCTGTAGTTTTTTGTGTAATTCTGCTGAAAAACAAATGAACACACAAACAAACGGGCGACAACACGACGTAACAAGAGTTGGAGGTGCTTCAGTGAAACAAATGCACCGAGTGCTGTCTGCAGATTGTTACTCTGTGATAAGTCATGTGCTGTGTGTCTCCTCACTGCTCCATCTCATTTCACACAGGACGACCAGGTGATTTGGTTTTGCTCTTTTCCATCTGCTCCTCCGCCGCCGCTGTGTCCACATCTTCTCTGAGCGTGTTGGGGGGGTCAATGCTGTGCATGATTTCTATCTCTCCTTCGCTCCTGCAGTGCTTCTCCACGGTTTCCTACTTTCCTCTGCTGTGTAGAAAATACAGAGCGTGTCAATCGAAGCGACACCTTCCTGGAGATTGCTTTTTGTGGATCTCAGAATGTCACAGTGCAGCGTGGCGTAAACTCCCTACACCTCCCGGATGTTGGCCGCGTGTGTCCGCAGGCAATCAGAGAAAAATGATGATTTCAAACTCCAGAGTCTCCTCGTGTTCTCCTGTTCGCATGTCAGATAGTAAGAAATGGCCTCATCACAACGTGTGATGTTTATCTGCAGCGTTCTCCACACGACTCACAGCCTCATCAGATCAATGTGCTTGCAACACCACAGCCAGTAGGAGACACGTATTACTCTTATTTCACACTGATTGCTTTTGAGTTTTTTTCTGTTACAAGACAGGAACATTAGAAACCGTTGTGTTGAGGGGAATTGCATCGTTTTTCCTTGTAAAACCTGCCAACGTGAAGGGAATCAATGATATTATATATTTGACGAATCGGTCGGTGCAAATATCAAATATCACCCTCGAAATCTGAGCAATGACCACGTGTAGAAATTCTGCTGTGGATCAGAATCAAACACACGTCATGATTGAGAAAAGTGTTAAAACACAGAGCCGTCCTCAGACTGTCCATCGCTGCAGCTCCTCTTTTCAGCCTCTGTCTCAAACACTTGGTTTCAGCTCCTGTCTCTTTAAGACCCCCCCCCCCCCCAGATCTTTGGCCACTAGGAGGCAGGACATGTCAGGAAACTTCACAGTGAGCGAGTGGACGTCAAAGTGGAGAATCAGTTGTCACCATTTTCTTGATCGATGATGTCACTTACGTTATGAGTTCATGAAATTTAAATCACGTGTGTGAAGTTAGGAGGAGATGAATGATAACCTTGATTTGTCCAAACGAGAGAAGACAGATTATAAAGACTCGTCGGTCGTCCTCTTTGATTCATTCACATTTCCCCCCCGGGTCTCGACCAGCTGATGAACCTTCACACACGGTTTGGTTCAGAGGAACGTCTTCTGGCTCTCAGCTGAGTTTGAATGGCATTTTTCTGACGGAAGCAGAAAAGCCTCCAAAGTGAGTTAAACTGCTTCTAATGTTGGAATAATAAGTGGCTGTTAACTCGGCAGCCGCGGCACAAAGACTTATCAGGACTTTGGTTTGCAGCCAGCGTCGCCTCCTGATTTACGTGATTCGACTCTGTGAGCCTCGGTGAAAAAAGCCAAATGAAAATCCAATGAGAACCTGATTAAATGGTGGAAGCAACTAAGCAGAAGAATTCATTTTCTACTTAATTCCATCACAGGGGACACAGAGTGGCTGGTATCTGGTTTAGCCTGCGGATATCATCAGACTGTGACATTCTTGAGAAGGTTATTCAGGTGTGTGTGTGTGTGTGTGTCTTTTTTTGTAATGTGCTGCTTCTTCTGCTTTCCACACGTCTCCTGTGTGACCTGTCGGGTGATTGTAGAATTCAGACGAGTCTCAGAAAGGTTCATTTTGCAGCGTGGAAATGAAATGGAAGTAAATCTGAGGGCTGAGTGGAGGGCGAGGGTCAGCCTGGTTCCTTTTTATGAGTGACGATGCTCAAAATGCTGCCGAGGCAAAGCCACCCACTTACTCCAAGTGGTGACATAAATTATTCTTTAGAGACTCGGCTGCCATAGATTGAGAAGCACATGCAGGAGATAACAGGCGGGTGAACTGGTGAGACGGAGCGGAGGTAAATATTAGAGGAGGAGCAGGAAAGAAAAAGCGGTAGAAAGGCTAAAAGTGAAGTTGGGACGACAGGATGAGAGTAAAGCAGCTGAAAGGATGTTTGATGAAAAGGTTGAATAATTATTACCTGTGTGTTTGAAAGAAGTAAAAGATGTCAGGTAGACGTAGTAAAGGAAGTAACCCGCTCTCTCTCCATCCTCGTCCCTCAGCACATGAAGTCGGGCCCTCTGAAGGACCCGCTGCTGGACGACCACGGCGACTTCAACAGGATGTGCGTGGCCATGAAGAAGATCGGCCTGGACGACACGGAGAAGCTGGACCTGTTCAGGGTGGTGGCCGGCGTGCTGCACCTGGGAAACATCGACTTCGAGGAGGCGGGGAGCACGTCAGGTGAGCTGCGGCCAAAACGTGATGACGTGTTCATCAACACGGTGACGACGTGTTCATCAACACGGTGACGACATGTTCAGCAACACGGTGATGACATGTTATCACGGTGACGACATGTTTATCAACACGGTGACGACATGTTATCACGGTGACGACATGTTTATCAACACGGTGACGACATGTTTATCAACACGGTGACGACATGTTATCACGGTGATGAACATGTTCATCAACATGGTGATGACATGTTTATCAACACGGTGACGACATGTTATCACGGTGATGAACATGTTCATCAACATGGTGATGACATGTTTATCAACACGGTGACGACATGTCATCACGTTGACGACATGTTTATAAACACGGTGACGACATGTTCATCAACACGGTGTTGACATGTTTATCAACACGGTGACGACATGTTCATCAACACAGTGACGACATGTTGATCAACACGGTGACGACATGTTCATCAACACGGTGACGACATGTTGATCAACACGGTGACGACGTGTTCATCAACACGGTGACGACGTGTTCATCAACACGGTGACGACGTGTTCATCAACACGGTGACGACATGTTGATCACCTCTCAGTAAACGTGTCCAGCTGTGGACGTCCGGTCGTTGGGACTTTGAGTGACGAGCTTCATTTCGTTTACTAACCTCTGCTGTAAATAACCTGCGGTTCATCACTTGATGAAAACTGCTGCTGACGTCCTGCCTCCGATATTCAGCAGGAAACTGAAACCACGTCATCGCTCACACACACAGAATGAATCAGCACGTGTGGCTGCAGGGGGCGCTGCTGCTCAGTTTCAGTCAGATCGTGTCGCTTTAAAAGAACCTGAGTTGAGAAGTTCAACGATAAAACTAAATATAATAGAAGTAAAAAGCTAGAAAGTGAATAAAAATAAAAGTATTTCTATGTGCACTGCCCCCTGTCAATAGGATACATGTTAAATACACACACGTTACATACAAGTCGTATGAAGTCAGAGAGCACAGAGAGGATCTGATTGGTCGTTTATCATCAGCTCTCACTGACGCCACAGGCCTCTCCGCTCAGACACACCACCAGCTTGCGAGCGCCTAAGTGGCGGCTGCCATTTGGATCTCACGTTCGAGACTGTGCAGCTGATTGATGTTGGTAATATTCCACCTTCATCTCCCCCCTCCTCCTCCTCCTCCTCCTCCTCCGTCTCCTCCGTTCAGACTCATCAGGGTGGATGATGAACGATTCATTTGTACGATGTTGAAAAGTTTGTTTTTCACATGAAATTAAAAACCCACAAAACGTGACAGGCAACTTATGACTTACATCTCCTGTAATTATTACTTCTTCTCAGGGGAAATGGGTTAATTACAGAGACACATTCAAGTTTTCTGTTCTTCACACTTCAAGAGGCGTCGTCTCGGATGCTCCACCCCATCTCACGCACCATTTTCCGCAGCGGTTTCAGACTAAACATCCCCCAGGGAGGCTCAGTTTCCATGAAAATCAACTGCTTTGAACTTGGGCAGCGAAGTTCCTCAGCTCTCTTTTCCTCTCTGTCGTCTTCTCCCTCCGTAGGGAGGAGGAGGAGGCGGAGGAGGAGGCGCAGCGGGGTGCCTGTTAAGTACACTGCTTCTCACAGCAGGAAGCTATCATGGCGCGTGTTTTACAGAAAATGAGGAGAATGTGTTCAGAGGAGGTAATCATCCAGCCAGGCTCAGTTTGGGAGTTGGTCCCTGGAGGACTTTAGAGAGATTTTAAACAATTTGTTGAAGCCAGAAGAGCTTTTATTTATTATTTATCTGGTTTGGAAACACATCCACCAGTCTCATAAGTTCAGAGGACAAACAAGGAAGTGTGTGTTTGACTGAGACGTCCAGAACGATTCCACGGAGCTGAGACGTGGGGACTGACAGACGACCACCCAGAAGATTCAGATAAATAATGAACGGCTGCTGTCAGAGCCCATCACAGATGTGACGGCCAGACGGCATCAGAAATGCTGACTTGTGGCAGCGAATCAATCAGCGGAAGACGTGATCGGAAAGATGGAGGTGAAGGTGGAGGAACGAGCTGGAGAAGAGAAATGAGAAATTGCATCTGGACGGTTTCTGTGAGAGATGAGAGCTGATTCCAGTTCTGTTTAGTTTCTTCAGGCTTTACTTTCCCTTCATCTCCTTTTTTCGGAGAGTGTTTGGAAGGACTGTGGCAGAGAGATTGAACGGGTCGGCCACTTAAAGAAAAGTTGATTCCCAGCTCCTCGTCTGTCAGGCGTAACCCCAAACATCCACATTTTAACGATTACGTTTTAAAACTGTCCCCAAATTCAGACATTACCGGAACAGCACACATTAATCCACCGACAGTCCCCAACAATCTGATGATGAATAAAACAGATAATGTAATGATAGAATTCTCACTGTGTCAGTTCAGCCATTTCCATCTGGGCTTTGTTCACGTCTCCCTCGGCTCGCTCGGTTCACAGCACGTGGGTGTTTAGAGCTCACTGGCTAACCTTGAATCCGCTGCTTGGATGCCTTCGAGGGACCGATCGTGAGGTGCACGCTGGCCCGCTGCTTGTCGATATGTCATCACAGAGGTGCACGTTGTTGCAGAGATGCGGGGGATTTAAAAAAGAAAACACTTAATCCTTTGGCACGTTGTAAGAGGCTGGGTTGTGCTCCAGCGGGTCGGGTCAGCGCCTCATCACAAGCACTTCAGACTCGACAGCAGCCGAGTTTCTGAGACCCGCTCGACTGACGTGTTCTCGGAACGTGGAAGGAAATGTTTGTGATTAAATATTACAGCGGTCAAGTTTGTGTAATATATGAATACACATGTAAATTATACAGAAGTACTGGCTTGATGAGACTCGACAGAAGCCTTACTGATGTTTGCCCTTCTCCTCGTCTTGCAGGCGGCTGCACCATCAAGAAACAGTCGAGTCAGACTGTGGAGCATTGTGCCGAGCTGCTGGGCCTGGAGCAGGACGACCTGAGAGTCAGCCTCACTACCAGGGTGATGCTCACGACTGCAGGGGGCGCCAAAGGAACAGTCATCAAGTAAGGGGACTGCCCAGTACACACACACACACACACACACACACACACACACACACTCACACTCACACACACACACACACACACACACACACACACACACACACACACTCACACACTGAGCGACACAGATGCACACAAACAGCTGGACCACATGTACACTGACATTCCCTCCGTCTCACAGCTGGAATCACAGATTTCTGTCCTCAGAACGCTGCTCGGTCCCGGAGGTTCTGTTTCTCGTGGATTTACAGAAGTTACGTTTGTACTTAAAAAGGATCTAAGTCTTTTCATATGCAGGTGAAGCTACAGCTGCGTCTGTGGGAAACTCGTTACTGAATGGACCTTGTGGTGAGACAGTTTTCTCAACTAAACCTCAGAGATTACTGTTGTGTCCCGTTTGTAGTCCCCGAGCCTCGGGTTGGAAACCGCTGCAGAACAGACACATGAACTGTAACTGCACACGAACCAACAACACATTGATTTACAGCGTCAGCACTCAGAAGCTTAGTGGGTCAGATCCACAGGGACATTTGGACACATGAGTAATCTCACTCGTGTGTTTCCCGTCCCGTTATCGCCGTCCAGAGAGACGGAGGAGCACCAACTCATTTCAGCTGACATCAGGATGTACGATAAAGTCAAACGAGGCTCGGAGGAGGAGGAGGAGCGGCAGCAGAGCCGGTTAACGGGCGCACGTGAACTCGCCTCCTCGTCTCTCGGCTGCAGATAAACACTGGATCAGACCTGAGCGTTGCTGCCAACAGTTGTTATGAATAAAGTGAGGAGCCATCTGGATGCTGAAATGAGTTTCATTAGAAAAGGTGAAACAGGCGACTGAATGCTGCTGTCAGACACTCAGCCACCTCCACTTCACTTAGTGCTGTCCTGCATTTCCCAGAAGGCCTTGTGACAACTTCAGTGAAGGCAGGCTGTCACCGTTGTGTGGCTTTCAGGAACTCAGAGCCTGAACGCATTTTTTCAGAAATTGCAGAGAACATAGAAGTAAATTTTTCACTGCAATTTTTGTTGCAAATTGCATGTTTAGCCAGGTTTCCCTTTTTATTTTGCATCCTGGGATTGATTGGTGTTTCGTGGCGAGTTAGCTGCTGTTGTAGAGCTTTTGTGTCGTGCTGCCCCATCAGTCGACCGTCCTCATCTTGTGGAGGCTCTGAAGACCTCTGTGCACATCTGCTGCATCAGACTAAAACGTTTTTATACAGGTTCGAATCTCTGATCCTCCAAACTGCCAGAAACATCTTGAAATGATGCCGAGTCATCGTCACTTGGTCGCTCACCCAGGCAGATAAAGAAAAAGATCTCCACTCACGTCCACACGTCACGTAGATGATTTAGTTCACGTCAGTGCCTCTGGAAATGAGTGGACGCTTGTTTACTGGCTCTGTGGTTGAAGGTGACCTTTACTGTTTTTCTTATTAATTGTCTTTTATTGTGCAAGTCGAGAGCGATCATCAGTTACCCTGGAATTCATCCTGCTCTAATATTAATAATGCTTCATATTTAGAAAGGAACAGTGAATAAAAGCAGAATTCTGTGCAGACAATAAGAAGCTTCGAGCTCTAAACATGAACGTGACCATTTTCATGCCGTCTCTTGTTTTTCTGCTTCCTCTGTATGGATTTAAAATGATTGTACATGTGATATAAACAATATTAAAACGTGAGCCAGTCACTGTGAATCTAACTTTAAACTCCTTCACTTTCCATCAGGTTTTAAACCTAGGACCACAGCTTGTGTTCATACATAGAAATTCTGTCCACATGCTGAAGTGTGACGGGCGTCATTTACATGTTCTGTGTTAAATGAAATGTGACAGTGGGCATGTCGGAGCACATATGGCGTTCTCCTCCTGCTGCAGGGAAACACACTGAAGATCCCTGAAGTATGATTATCATCATTTTTATTGCACTTTTATTGGGAGAAGTTGTGCGTGTTGAGAATACAACTGAAATGAAACGTTGTGAATGGGTACAGCATGACGCAATGATCTGGTGAAGGATGTCATGAGAATGTTCGGTGGATAAACTTCAGCTCAGAAATGAGCTCAGGAGAATGTCGTCCTTGATGGTGGGAGTTCTCCGGCAGTCTAGACCTATAGCAGCATAACTAAGGGATGGTTCAGGACCTGATCCAGAACTACAGGCTTTATCAAAGAGGAACGTTTTAACTTCAAATGCCGAAGTGTCTTTTCATTGGTTTCTTCATTGTCCAGAAAACTGTTGGAATAAAAAACTACGATCGCAGTCAGACAAAATACAAATAAACTCGTGATTTAAACGTTACCTCTCGTCAGTGGCTCTTTAAAGGATCAGATGACGTGTATGAAGGGATGAACTTCAAGAGCAGGTGGACGTCAGTGTGACTCTGCGACAGATAAAGGCCAGAGGGGGAGAAATGAAGCGTCTCTCTTACTCGACAGGGAGCGAGGACCATTCACAGCTTCACCGGTCTGCTCCAGCTCAACAAGATAAATGTGAAGCTGTGAAGCGTTACTGAGGAGGAGGAGCTGAGTATTATACCACTTAGACGGATCAGTGCGGACCACCATAGGAGAGCTGCAGGTATTTGAATCCACCTCGAGCTCAGAGCTGGAGTGAACAGATGCTTCACAGAATAAAAACTTGTCAGACCGTGCAGATTCTTTTTCAGTTCAAGGCAGCGAATAGATTGTTCCTCTGAGTAATAGGGACAATGAGACACAACAACCAGGCAGCAGTGATGAAAACACTAAATAAAACAACACAAACAAGTGGTTTCATCCCTGGTGGAGACGCTGATTAAAGATATATTCAACATGTTTTGTTGACAGCTCAGCTCCGACACACTCTTCATCTTAACGCCAAACCACTCGCCTCAGTTTCAAACCTCCTACACTAATGTTTGTTTCTCCTCTTTGATTCGAGGAACGAGGAACCAAAGCAGATGAATTAGAAGCTGCTTCCAGCCTCTGAGTGTCCGGCCTGTCACTTACTCTCTCGTTGAAGTGACGTGTGTCTGACAGGTCCCGGTAACCATTTCTTCCTCCAGATTAAATGTGCATCACTTACCGCCTGTTGCAGCCTTTGCAGTGGAAAAAACAGAAAACATCAAATAAGTTATAAAGATTCTTTTTCACAGAAATCAGCTTAAGTACTATTTAGTGTCAAGTCCACAGAGGGCGCTGTTCTTCCTGAGCAAGAAGCTTTCTGAGTTTCTGTTGGCAGCAGATGGCAGAAAAAATCTCTTGCAACATGTTTACTCTCCCCGTTAAAGCCAGAAAGAAAAACCCTTTGACTGAGAAAGCAAAGGATCCCGTTTGCAGATCGAGGCAGCAGACTCTCCGCTGATGGCAGGTGGTTGGAGGTCTGAAAAAAAAAAAAAAAGGTTCCATCATGTTCATCGCCTTCAGAGAGGAGGACGTCAACTGACTTCGCAACAGTCGTTATATTAGTAAATACTTCCTGTACCATGACCAGCGTCTGTCTTCTACAAGTGCTGATAGAAAAGAACATGTAATTGGTGCAACAAAAACCTCTTGAAGGGAGATGAAAGTGCAGCCTTTGATTTTGGCAACATGCTATGTTCAAACCAACCTGCTTCCCCTGAACGGGATGAAGGTCAACATATGACTCTTTCAAACCTTAGGTTCAGACCTTCAGACTTTACCGTTCAGTCTGAATCTAAATATCAGGGGTGAAAGGTTCCTCAGACCACGGTCCACCAAAGTTAATCCAATGGGGTCTGCATCTATCTGAACCATGGTTCTGTTCATTTGGTGCATTTGACCTAGGGAGGAGTTCTGTTGTACTGTGGAGTACCGTGTCTCAAGGTGGATTGTTTGTTTGCCTCCTGTTTAGCTTGTGGACAGTGCATTGTGTCACAGGTTTAGATTTGTGAATGAAGATTCAGTCAGATGTTGGAGAGGGTGTCCCGGGGATTCCCTCTAGTGCTGTCCTTTTGTGATTGATTTAAAGGTACAGTGTGTAGAATTTAGTGACATCTAGTGGGGAAATTGCATGTTGCAGGTGAATACTCCTCACATCACCCTCCCCTTCCAAACATGTTAGAGAACCTGTGGTAACTTCAGTTGTCATAAAAACCCAAAAGGTTTAGGTTGTCCAGTCTGGACTAATGTAAAACAACATGGCGGCCTCCGTAGAGAGGACCCCCTCGATGTAAGCCTGGTCTAGTGTAAAGAAAACAGCAATTGGTAGAATTTTGATGAAACATTATTTTATATTCAATTAGTGCTAATAGATCCCTCTCTTCTAAATGATACACACTGAACCTTTAAAACACACTTGAGTAAGTATGAGCCTAGAATAATTGTATGTTTCTCCCTCAGAGGAGTTTTTGGATCTCTGCACCAAAGATTAACTGCTGAAAATAGCAGAACATTATGAGATTGAAATTGGTGATAAACATTTAAAAGAAAGAGTGAAGGCTATTTTGAAACAAATTTATTTGAAGAAAAAGTTCAGAACAGTTTTTCCACTTGTCACAACAACAGCTCTGACATTTGACCAGCAAAAATGCGTGAGCAGACCGAACAGGCGAAGCTTGACACAGAGCGGTCTAGACTGAATTCGATTAAGGACGGCAAGCTTTCAGCTGGTGAGTTTATGGGTAAGACAACGGTAACACTGAATATTCCTCGGACATATGAGTTGGTTCCAGAGGTTTACCACCAACAGTTTAGAACCTGGAGAAGGGGGGGGGGGGCATAGTCATTTTGAGTTTGCTCGTGACTTGGCCTCTCAGTTTACTCAATAATGTACATTTGTTGCCTCATTTAAAATATTCTGCTTGAGCTCCATGTCATCAGCGTATCTGAGCTGAAAGTGTACCTGCTGTTGTACCTGACAGAGGTTATTCGGATCTTCCTGGAAGGCTAAAGTCAAACACTGCTGATCTTTCAATGTCTTTTCTTGCTTGATCATAGCTTCTTTGAGCTCAGCACTGTACTTCTTACTTGTGGCCCTTTCTTTCTTTAGAGCCGAGGCAAATTTAATGGATCTCTTCCTTTCTT